TGCGGGGCACCCCTGGTGTGCAGCAGCGACCTCACCACCTGCTGCGCCGTGCATTGGTGGCCAAGGAACAGCTCCACTTCTCAGGCAGTGGTGCCCGTGCTACAGGGACCACAGTTCCAGAGAGTCAAAAGGAGGAAGCCCCGAGTGCCAGGCCAAAGAGAGGGCCACCCGAGATCGCAGGCACACGGTGCAGCCTCGCCACAGGGCCCCACCAGCAGGGCAGCCGGCACAGCTGTCCTCAGGGCCCAGAACACAGCCTTCACAAGGGCCTTTGGCCTTTCAAGAGAGCATTTCCTCCCCGTTGGGGGGCCTGGGCCCTCGTCAGGGGGACCACTCTGCCTGCTAGCAATGAGCACGGCACCCACATTTGCCAATATTTTCGGTGAAGTCTTTCCAAACACCAGCTCCCCAATCCAACAGCAAGAGTCCTAAAAAATGCCAGCACCACACTTTGCTACGCTCCCCAAGGTCTCAGCTGAGCATTGTGCAACAATGGAACAGGCAGCAGGCCAAGGGGGACGACACTCACACTCCCCGCACTTGCTCAGGACCACAGGCTCTGCAGTCCTTGTAAGTTACATTAAAAAAACACTTCAGATAGAAACCAGCCTACGCATGATGTTCTCATGTGGAGCGGAACTCTTATTTCCTGCCTTCTTTCAAGTTACACGTGCACTGGTGTGACCGTGTGCTAAACTAGGTCCCTAAGCAGTTGGTGAAGGCACAGAGGTACCAGGAATTAAGTCCGGGAGGGCTGCAGGGTTTTGGGTCCACATGTGGGGTTTCCCCGAACATGCACCTCTGCCCCCTCATTACACGCCTTCCTAACTTCCCTGAGGAGATCCAACTTTAAAGGTTTCCCCATCTTTCCCCTTTCAAAACCTGCTTATTAACTGCACAGACAGCTAACGCCTTAGGAAAGACATTGTAAGTTGAACCATGGCCCCCCAAAATGATGCTGAATCCCTTAGCCCCAGCGCCTGTGTGGTGACCTAATTTGGAAACAGGGTCTCTGCAGATGATCAAGTGACCTCAGCTGTTAGCACGGGGCCTGGTCCAGTGTCACTGGTGCCCTCATAACAGGGAAATCTGGACACACCCGCAGGGGCGCCACTTGAAGACACCTATGTGCTGAGGACGGTGTGGGGACCCCAGACGCTGGGGAGAGGCTTGGAGGAGGTGTTTGCCTGGGAATCACCCTGGCCTCAGGCTGCTGGGCAGCTCCCACCTTCCAGCTGCCTGCCTTGCAGGAGTGGGGGGCCTCACAGGGACGTGGCGCTTGGTGCCGGCAGCCCCGGGACCCTGAAGGGCCGACACCCCGTCCTGCATGTGCAGGTGTCAGCCCCGCTCAGCGAGCTGCCTGACCAAGGAGGGCCCCACGGCAGTATCACAGAGGCTCTGTACTCCCCACAGACTTTGAGCCACAGCCCGTCAGCGCGGCACAGGCGTCCGAGCTCCAGCCCACCGTGCTCGCTCAGCAGCCCCTCACACTCCTCACTCCACGTCCCCTGGGCCGGCTTCGTCCTTGCTGGAGATGGACTCCAGCCCCTCAGCCAGGAGCTCTCCCTGGCCCCGGCTACAGCCGTCACTTGGCTCATCTCTGCTTAAGACGTCCAGGTCCTCGCTGGAAATCACATCCAGAGCCTCCCTTTCTCTCCACTCAGAGACTGGTCCACCGCCTCCTCTAACCCAGGCTGCTCTGGCTCCTGGCCAAGTCCTCAGGCACCCCCTCCTCGGACCCTGGAGAGCAAAATGTCAGGCTCACGACATCACGTTCACGCCTGGCTCCTGCCCTCCTCCAGAGCCACCCTCCCCGCAAGCCCGCACTCCCTGCCCCACGTGCAGGCTCTCCCCACTGTCGCTGTATTTTTTCATTCACCAAGGCTTACAAGACCGATGCCATTATGAAGAAAAATAAACAAAACGGAATAGACTCTGTAAACGTTTCAGGTTCTAAAGTCTGGTTTTGGCTTTTCAACATGAGAATACAACTCAATAAAAATGTCAAGTTATTTACCCAGACAATTCTTCCAGTATTGCCTGCTAATGAGCCCACTGATAAAAGGCAATAGCATTACTTTCTTAGGACGTCATTTCACCATGTACCGGGACCCTGTCACAGATGAAGAGATCACCCTAATCCAAACTGACGCACGCCCTTCTCGTCACCTGTCCCCGTGCGCGCTCTGGCCAGGGCTTGTCTTGCTCGGTACGCTCTGTGTCCGGGCCGCACTGAAGTCGGCTAGCCTCGGAAGTTCTATCTGCAGCCCTTCACTCTGGAGCCAGGTCTTGGTGCAGGTTTCGAAGTCAGCCTATAGGCCTCTCCTGGGAGGGAGGCCCCTGCCAGAGAGGGCCCAGGCCAGCCCCATCCCGCTGTGACGGTTCTCGCAGCTCGCCCGCAAGCGCAGAACGAAGTCTGCCCGACACCCTTCACACTTCCCCATAGCTCTCTGAGTTCTGTCTCCTTTCTTCTGGGGACACTGATGGAAGACGCAGAATTTCATATTCTGGTAAATGCAAAGTGCGCCTCGGTGTCTTATAACAGATTTTGAACTAAGCAGAATTGCTTAGTTGGAAGGCAGAATGGGAGAGTGAAAACAGTTGGTCATGCGAAAAATAAAGACTGAAAAGTCATGGGCTGAATGGACCCTCTGACCAGGCTGGGTCACAGGACCTGGATGCTGGCAAACAGCGACTCGATCACTGCCAGAGCAGACGCAGATACGTGTCCCCACATGCCTGCAGCCCTACTGCCTGGGGAGCAGCCTCTTGTCCTGCGTGAATCCTTAGAGCCTGAAAACGCAAGTCACCCAGAACGCTGACAAGAATGGGCTGAGAAGTGTCACTGGCACGCTTACCACAGGAACACACGGAGGAGCCGACCGCTAAAGCCTGAGCGCCTCAGGGTCTCAAACGAGGCCCGAGTCTAGGCTTACAGTAAGACTAGTGACGTCCTCCGCTGGGCCCTGAGCCCGGGAACAGAACCCCCACCAGCACTGCTGGGTCCCGACCCGTGACTCCTCCAAGAGGCACGTGAGGCACAGAAGGCTTTCTCTACATGCGCAGACCTCACAGCCGAGAAGATGGGACTGCTAGCAGACTTTAAGCAGCTTATGGGAGGTAAAAACTGTATGTTATTTATTCATACCTGATTATAATGGCTAAAAACTCATTTTTAAGGAGGTACCTTGGCCTATCAGATTTTTTTCCCTGAGGAAAACAAAATCTGGCTACAATTCAATCACTAAGGCCTCTTCCCTTGTACTCTGTCCTTTAAAGACACCAGGCGAGATGCAGACCCTCCTTAAGGTACCTGCCTCAGGCTAAGGGAGGCTGTCCCGTTTTGCCCTAGGATGCCCCCCATTCCTCACCTACCCTGGGACTGAAGCCCACGGGGCCAGGAAACCAGGCCTCCCTCATGGGGCTGCCCGGGGGATTCATGCTCTGTCCTCCAAAGCTGCCCTGCTCTCCAAAACCTAACTGGAGCTGGCTGAGGGGTGCAACGAGATGCAAAAGTGATTTTAAGGCAGGAAAGACTGTTAAATTCTTTGTGTAAGACTCAGTAAGAGTTCTTACATACAAGAAAGCCAATTAATGAAGAATATTAACATGGTGTAGTCCATAACATATTTATAGGGAGCCATCCCAGTATGTATTTTGTACATTTATAATGGCAGTCATTAAAGAAGTCTCCAAAAGGCCACATACAGTCACCTGTCCAGCCCCAATTCACACCGTCCTGGCTTAGCTTTCCCTGTCCCATCTACCAAGGGATGAAAAACGGATATACACTAACACACAGGCATCTCCCCCCAGCTCCCTCTGTGAGCTACTGTAACAAGTCCGGGCTTCTTACCACGGTAAAAAATAAGGTAAGTCTCTTGGAACCCCCACACCTGAAATAGGCTATGGGGCTGCACATTCCAAAAGCCGGCACCTACCAGACGTAGAGTGGTTAGTCTTCCTCACGCCTCAGGTGCTGTGGGTAAAACTGTAGTGTTTCCAGAATGTCTTGCCTGGCTTTAGTACATCTGCATGTCAACAGGCATTCACACATGGAAAGAAGTATGGCTTTAATGTATTTGCATCATTCCTCAGGGATGGAGAGTTCCTCTCCGTATCAGTGGGTAAACCCAGGCAGCAGAGAGCTTATGTGTAGCTGAGAGGTGAGGGGGAGAGACAAGGGCCCAGACTGCAGTTTGTAAGCAATAAACGGATTTTAAACTTTATTTCTCCCTTTATCTTATCTTGGTTTTAGAGGTATTTTGCCCCAGGATTTCCTCTCTCCAGACTTACAGGTGGACAGGTGCCCACTGGTTCCCCCTGTGTTTCCTGCAGATGGAACTGCTCCTCGTCTCCCTCAAAGGCTTGCAGGTGGTCCTGGGTCTCTTCAACCAGGCTTCAGGACATGACGGGGGGAGGGCACACAGTGTGTCTCCCTCCATGAGGCAAGACAAAAATGCCGATGTGCTCCCAGCAAGCCCTGACCTCCCATGGCGCCCAGCACCGGACAGCCCAGCAGTGGAGAGCAAGCGCTCCCATGGGGCCCAGCACTGCCTGTGCTGGAGACACGGGTGAGGGCAGGCGCCAGCCCCCGAGGCAGGGGTGGGAGCACTGCAGTCTCCCGGGGCCAATGCCTCCTGCAAAAGGAACACAGGCCTACAGAGCATCCGCTATGCTGTCGGTGCTCTTGACCAGGTCAATCCCCACGGACTCAGTGTCAAGGGAACAGCATTTCCAGGCCCCAGCATCTGCGTCCTTTCCGCTGTTGTAACTGAAATGGCAAACAAGTGCATTGCAGCCAACATAGTGCAAGAAGTGAACACATTAAAACCCTTCTTACTCACCGTGCAAGGTGTGAATTCAGAAAAATCTTCGGGGGGGGGGGTGTTTAGAGGCCCTGCGCTCTGAAGATACGGCATACAATGGAAAGTAAGCAGAAAGGCTTGCCAACCTTCCACGTCCTGCTACACCAAGAGCACGACGACCAGTGAGCTTACCAAAGAAGTCAAATGAAAGCGGGTCCGTGGCGCCAAAAAATTCCCTGAAGACGTCCTCTGGATTGCGGAATGTGAAGCCATACTCGAATGGACCGTCAAAGTGGCCCCCGCCTGTGGAAGCAGAGCACAGCTCTTAGCTCACAGCCGCGGGCACAGGTGGCAGCTGCTGCTCTGCAGACGCCGGAGGCCGTGGCCTCAGGGAGAAGGTGTTCCACAAGGCTGACGCTCCCCGCTAAAGGCGGGAGGCCTGCCTGGCCCCAGCGGGTGTGACTGCAGGTGCAGTGCGCGTGGGCCCGAGCCCTTCCGGGCCGCAGCGTGCCGCTCACCAGCACGCTCTCGCAATCCCTCTACTGCGGTCAGCAAACAGCCCGTGAGCCAGGAGGCGCACGCGACTTGTCTGACTGCGGCGTCCACCTCCAGGCCGCCGCGTGCGGTGAGGCGGGCTCCGCCCGGATGGGAGCGCACACTCACAGCGAGATACTACTGTAAGAATGTAAATTACTTCCTAGCTACACAAAGTACATCAACACAGACTTTCTAGTCTGAAGACTTTTAATTGGCTCCTTCAACGTGGTCCGCCTGTCCTTTGTCTCCCTGAGGGAACCCGCTCTCTAGGCCGCCTGTTTCCGCCGAAGCAGCTCTAAGCGAACGGGCAAACTCGACCTGTCCGGACCTTGCTGCCCAAGCGGCTCCTGTCACCCGTTAAGACCAAGGGAAGATTAAGAGGTACATACCTCCACCTCCACCATTCAATCCTTCTTTGCCGTATCTGTCATAGATGTCCCGTTTTTTAGCTATAAATTCAAAAAGCAAAGTCAGTAAAGAGCAAGTTCTTTTCCCCTCAAAATTCCATGATTTCCAAAGCTGCATGTAAACCGGAAGACCAATGCAGTTTGCACGTTTTTAGTTTTAAGGCATTACGCCTCCCTTACTTTAAATGAAGCGCAGGAAGAGGTATAATCTAAGTACATCTCTCCTTACAAACAACTAACATGATCATAAATATTTAAATATTTCACTCCAGTGCCCACAGTGCCTGTGCATACATTAATTAAAATCGCATTTCAGAGTCACAAAATTATCCCGACCCTAGAAGTCCAAATGGGGACTAAGATCTGTGGTTCAGAGGAAAAGAAGACAGGGCCTTGGGGAGGGTAGTGAACACATGTACCAAAAGCTAGAAAGAGAACCGGCCCCAACCCTACAGGTTTAACCCCAGCCTTCCTGGTGTCCTACTGTCCTTCTATAATAGGAACATACCTGCTTGGACACATACACCTTCTGCTCCCCTGGGTGCCCCCCCTAACTTCGTGTTCCCTGGAACCTTGCCGTACAGCAGCAGGGGCCTGGGGGCGAGGCGCTCACAGCCAGTAGGCAGCAGAAGGCAAGCAGAGCCCCGGGAAGAGCAGGACCCGTGCCAGGCCTGCAGGGGCAGCCCCAGGCCAGACGCCTAACCATGCTCTCCTTCAGACACAGCACAGCATTTCCACGGGCACTTGAAGGCTCTCCTTCTGCCAAATACCAAGTCTGAATTTCATTCTCAGTTGTTCTCATTTCCTGACCTGTGAAATCCACAAATCTGGGTGTGCTGGAGCAGCAGATAAGGACCAAATGACAGAGACTGAGGTCGCCAGGGGTCCACCCAGCTCAGAAGCCACCCACCAGACCTCCAATGCTGTATCTCAAAGACACTGCCGCCATCAGTTTGCCTGCTTTCCAACCTGAGAAATGAAATGTCTGGGAGTCCCTCTCAGGTAAAGAAAGGGGTCAAACGATGGCAGTTGAGTGCTGTCGCCATCCGCTGCCTGGAGCTCACTCTACAGCCAAAACACCTTCCGATTCGGACCCCAGTCCAGCACCAACACACCAGCACAGACACCCAGCATCCCTCCCTGTGGCCAGTCAGCCAGCCTCTGACCTTACAAACACCTGTGCCTTGACTCACACCAGGGCACCCAGCACTACCCCTCCTCGCAAGGTGGTGCTGGTGGTTTTCCAGTTTTCTTAACAGGTTCCATGCTGTGCACCTGGCCCAGGACCCACACAGTCTTTCCTGCACCAAGAACCTGCCGACGGGCAGCAGCTACCAGCTACCAGTGGCCTTAGTCATGATGCCAGGCTACAGGACCTAACTCTTAGTAACACCCAATCCTGATGCCCGGGCTCTGGGCTAGAAGACACACCCACAAATCCCAAAGTCTCAACCCTGGCTGCATGCTCAATTCCTGATTCCTGAAGCCAAGGAAGTCCTATCAAGTAGTAAAAATCAATATATTAGCAAAGTATGCTTAGGTAGGGCCATGGGGGTTAGAGGTCACTGTACCTCCACCCAGAGGCCTGCGCACAGATCTACCCTCCAGTCTCCAGACCAGGGCATTAACCAAGTTTAAAAAGAGTTACCCTAGGACAACTCACCAGGCAGCCGGGGCACCACAGCACTCAGAGGTAAAGCAGTCACCAGGACAAACACAACATCTTCACAAGAAAAGGACAAACCTCCTTCGCTAGGCCCCGACCTCAGCCAGCCTGTCTACACTCTGCTGTGCTTGGGGAGAGTCTGGCCTCTGGGCAGTTACTCACCATCTGATAACACCTCATACGCTTCAGCTACTTGTTTGAATTTCCTCTCCGCTTCTTCTTTATTCTCAGGATTTTTATCTGGGTGCCACTTCAATGCCAGTTTCCGGTATCTTGTAAAGAGTAATAAAGGGGTTTGATTACAGCCGAAGTCCAAAAAATCCAACGGGTTTTGAAACATATTAAGCACATAGTTTCGGAGCTTCAAATTAGTTAAATTAGTTACCAGTTTCAACTGTAAAATCTCCCTTTCCCCCAAAATGAAGTAAGTTCCAAAATCCAGACAGCATGCTCCAAACCAACATCGAGATACACACAGATGTTAAATGTGTGAGGCCCATAGCTTCCCGGCACGGCCTCACGACGGGAAGGCCAAGAAAGCAGAGAGCACACGCAGAGGGCAGCCTCGGTATGTGAGCAGACTGTCCTCCTCACACCCGCACACCCGCACCAGCCCGTCACTGGACACGTCAGCGCGGTACAGAGGGCCCTCCGCGGCAGCACAGCCAAGTGCGCCAGCATCTTTCAGAGCCGCTGATCTGGATTCAGGAGTCACTTAAAGGCACTATGACCAGGTCAGTCTGTCCCAAGGTTCCATTAACACTAACAATCATATGCTTTTTAAGTACAAAAAAATAATCCTCTCTGGGGGCGGGAGCCAAGATGGCGGCGTGAGTAGAGCAGTGGAAATCTCCTCCCAAAAACACATAGAGCTATGAAAATATAACAAAGAAAAATCTTCCTAAAATAGAGACCACAGGACACAGGACAACATCCAGACCACATCCACACCTGCAAGAACCCAGCGCCTTGTGAAGGGGGTAAGATACAAGCCCCAGC